CTCGAAGACGAAGGGGCCATCGCTTCTGCCAGCCCTGTGTTTGCCGCAACACAATCGCTGCTGGAAGCACTTCTCCGCGATCCAAAGAACCTGGTCTACGTCACGAGCAACAAAAGCCCGGAGCAGATCGAAGCCCGATTTGCAAGCTTCTCCGATAAAATCGGATACATCGCCGAGAACGGTTGTTTCAAGCGGGATATTGGAACCACGCAGTGGAAGCCGCTGGTGGATATGGAGAGAGCGAAGGACTGGAGGAACGGCATCCGTCGAGTTATCCAATACTACCAGGAAAGAACAGACGGTAGCGTCTTGGAGGAACGTCGCTGTCTGTTGACTTTCTGGTACAATAATGCCCAAGATCCCGAGGTCGCCGCCCGGCAGGCCTCCGACCTTGCCGACATGATCAACGGCTCCCGCGGCAGCGAGGCCATCCGCGTTGTCCTCACAGACGGAACAGTCAGCGTCGAACCCTTAGACATCACAAAAGCCAAGGCCGCAGAGTCTATCCTGGAGCAGTTGCCTGAGACCCCAGACTTCCTTTTCGTAGCCGGTGGTTCCCGCGGAGACGAGGCGCTCTTCCGCTGGGCCAACCGTTTGCATGGCGAAGATAAGATCCCGGATGTGACCACGGTCACCGTGGGCTCTCACGCCACAGAGGCTACGGCAGTGCTTCCCACTGGCATGAGCATCGCGGACGTTGTCAACACCCTGACTTCCTCGAGTGTGAATGGTACGAACGGCCATGAACCGACTGTCAATGGTGACAACTCTTCCCCTTCCTCATGACGGCGGCGACACTCAAGACGCAATGTTCCTAAGTTAACCTTGTTGAACTTCTGCTATGATACCTACGGCATGACGGCATGATTTCCTGCTCCTGTTTCCTTTGTAACTTAGTCTTACCTTCCATTCTTCCGGAAGAGGGATATACGTGGATCCTAATGGGTAATGTGTCTAGACGCTTAGACAGATAAATATACATCCTTATTTTCTTCCTTGCTCCCATACTAGTATCTCTTCCGTAAGGGAGTAGTCGGTGTGACTGCACTACAACCAGACAAGGGATAAGACCACATTTACGTACATTGGTTAGTTAAGGAGCAACAAGCATGAGGTACAAATGAATAGAACCTTCAACCATCACTCCTCACGCTATGTTGTTGCTTCGCATGACGAAAACCTTAAACAAACGGACATCTCGCCTCCTCCCTGCAATGTAAATACCCGTAGACCGATGATGTGATGTTAGACAAAATTGAGCCGAAGAAAGTCAAGGTCAGAGCAAATCTCGGATTGTTCGGAAAGAAAGAAGGTGAAATTACATCGCACCATACAAAAAGATACGACAGTGCCCAAACCAACATCTAAACCCAGGCAGGCGGCGGACAGACTCCCCAAGCCAGATTATAATAAAAACAAAGGGTCATAGACAGACGAATGGAAGAAAGAAGAATTTGTAAATGTAACATAAATCATTAGGGTTGTGCTATGAACACTGAAGTTTGAAGTTGTGTTGACAACCAACCGAAAACTCAAGTTCGTCAATGATTCACTAGACTATAAGTAATTGCTCAAGGAAGCCTCAGCCACTAACGCCGGCATTATGAGATTCATCATTCCGAGATGAAGAGGAAGGGGGAGGATTGGAGTTCGTGCCGGCGGATATAAGAGTCGGGGCCACGCGTCTCTTCTTCGGCTGTTGTACTTGCGGGACCGAACTCTGGTCCTTTGATTCCTCCTTCTCGGACTCGCTGATGTCCCGTTTGCCCAAGACACTGTCCCTCATAGAGTTTGTCCCACTTTGCGTGACTGCAGACATCGGCGTCTGGGGTGGTGTAGTCAGCGGCAGAATCGGTGGTTGAGCCGAGTTGGCTGCAGTGACGAGCGGCACTGATCCTAGAGTAGGTGTTGGATTGTTGACCACAGAATCCCCCGATTGCGGCGCCGTTACCTGTTGGACGGGAGATTGTGTAGTCATTGAGCAGGTGGAGTTGGATCGTGCGGGACTCGCTGGAGGTAATTCGGCTGGCTGGGCCGGTGTCGAGCTCAGAGAGGGTTGACTCAACTTGAGGGGCGAGGGGATATTGGCCGGGGATGGTAGTTGTGCTTGGTTTGCGGACGAGGTGCCAGCGTTCGCAGGATGCTGAGCTGTTCCCACTGGAGGTGTATACGGCTGGCCCAACTCTCCAGGAGCAAATGACAACGTTGAGCAGAAGCCGTCAGAGGAGCTCATTATTAAAGTTAAGCCATCATTCGACCTGTTTTTGTCAGTGTACCGAACACATTATAGATCAAATGACATAGAACTTACCATGTGAGATCTGTAAATGTCGCAAAATGTAAGTTGCTCACAACACACAGGGGAGTCTGTTGCTGCGTGTCGTACACAAGAACCGCGTCCTGCGTAGCCACTGCGTACACAATCCTGTATGGTAACGAGAAAACCGGACTCGGACTCTGGCCAGCAGAAGCTCCTTCATTCTCGGCGTTTTTGGACGCTGTGTTAGCTTTAGACGACTCGCTTGCAGAAGGAGTGGACGGAGGCTCCATAGAAAGCTTGTCAGGCGTCGGCTTCGTGGAAACTGCTGGTTCAGGAAGAGATGCAAAGGATTCTTCCCCAGAGGAGGTATCCAGCGTAATATGACGGGCAGGCTGAGGAGCCTTGCGCAAGGTGTACAAAATTGGAGAACACTTGACTGCAACGGAGGGCTTCTTATGGCCCGGCAGATGAGAGACAGGGGGCTTGTTGAAGCCTGCGCGGGTGTAGATGTACACTGTGTTAATGATCTCATCCGTGGATTTTGTGGGGTCTGCGGCAGGCACATGCGTGGTCTTGTACTGGCCAGCTGGAGTGAACAGCAGACTTCCATCAGGGGTGAAAGTCAGTCGCCTGAAGAATGATGTGAAAGTCTCATTGGCATAGATGTTGGCGTTCTTGACTGTGAGACCACCCAGGACGTTTGGCGAGGATACTTCTAAAGGCTTAACAGCAGGTAACGGCAGGGAAGGTGCCGGAGACGCAGAGCGGCGAATCGAGGGGGATGAGCCAAAGGAAGAACGACGACTATGAGATACCGGAGGAGGATCCATAGGCAAATGAGAAGTCAATGGCGTACCCGGAGTCGAAGTAGCGGGAGAAGCAATGGCAACGGAATTGCTTGTTGCGGGCTGGGATCGAATAGACATGTCCGGCGGAACAGGGCTGCTGGACGAGATACGTTTGGCTGGAAGATCCATCTTCAGGAACTTCCCGTGAGACGTTAATGTAAATTGGCCATCCTTTGTCTTCAAGCTGTAGATGTGGACAGATCGATCTGATGACTGGGTAGCAACAAATTCGTTCAGAGGATCCCAAGCCACTCCTTGAACGTAGTGCGAATGCTCCGCAATCTGCCGAACCATTTGCCCTGAAAGTATTCGGTTTTAGCCTCATGATGGGGATACGAATTCTAGGAGAGGCGACGAGAACTTAACGAACCAGTCTGTGCGTTGTATATTCGAGCAATATTGTCCATGCTCCCTGTGATGATGAAGACCCCGTCAGGAGACCACGCAAGGTCATAAATCTCAGCACCGGAGGACCGGCACATATGCTTTACGCGCCACGTCTCCTTGTCGTCCGAACGGTCCTCCCCTAACCCAGGCTGGGTCTGCAGTTCTGACGGGACCCAGAGAAGAACGTTGCCGTCGTCTCCTGCAGATGCCAGCATCTCGCCTAGAGCATCACATCAGAAGAGTGTTATCTCATTATAGAACACCTAGCGTATATACCTTTCGGACTGAAACGGACCACATTGACAGCTTGTGTGTGCTTCACAAGTGTGCTTAGATAGGTCACCTTTCGATCTTCACCTGTAGACTCGACTTTCCATAGCTAGTGATTCAAGGTCAGAGACACGAAGGGAGCGAGAGAGGGAGGGAGGAGAGGAAGGTGGTTGGAGGCATACTCGGACATTGTTATCACTAAGATAGACGTGAAATATTAGCAGCGCCTTGACAGATATATTGAGGAGGTCACCTAGACGTACTTTCCAGCTGTAGCAAGGCGCCCTTTACCATTGGGGTCGAAGTGAACCGAGTAGATTGGGGCATTGTCGTTGTGCCACGCGATGAGCAATGGCGTAGCCTTCATGGTGAGCACAAAAGCTCAATGCCCCAGAACGTCTGTGTCAATGTGATCAGGAAGGGTAGATATCGTAATAGGGTAGTTCACAACGTCGAAATCGTGTCAAGATGGGTATCTTTCAGAGCTGGAAATCCGTAAGGGTGCGTGTAGTTAGTAAAGTTACAGTAGCAGCTACTGCGGAGAACGTGGAACAATAATTAGACGTTCCGTTTATTGAGGAGCGAGATGTTATAGAACAAATTCGATAGCCAGTAAATGTTTATGAGAACGGGAGACTGGAAGGACAATAGCGGATCCGAAATCATCCAATAATGCAAATGAGGTCGAACACAATGGCAGCTGTCGACGAGTGGTGATGTCGTCGGTTGATGATGGTTTGTTCGCCGATTGCCCGTGTCGCTTCCTCGTGTCTCACGCCAACGCGCTCGGCGAATCGCAGCACATCTTCCATTTTAACCAAATCGGGCTTTGCTTTACATGAATGCATAGGTAGATTTGCAGCCGAGATTCTGCTAATATTAGCCCCTGTTAGGACCTTCGACTTAATATTTCTGATGCCATAATTAGTGTCGCGATACACGATAATCAGCCTCCATCGCTCCATATATATACCAAGGGGTCTACTGTACTATACATGATACCATGCAGTGCTTTTAAATCTTCGAAAGATGTCACCTTCATCATCAGGTAAATACTACTAATAAATAGAGCTTGTTTGCTAGAGAAGTAACAAAATAATTCATTCATTCCATCCCATGTTGAACGCCAAACACTCGCTTCCGAAACCGTAATGCTACACCTTTCCACAGAGACAGCTTCAACGATGCAAGAGTAATAATACAAAGAAAGAGAGGAAACCCGTCGAAGATCTTGATCATGTAACCCATTTACCAATCGTCTCTCCGAACCAACTAACAGCCTTCTCGCGCCGTTTCGAACGTGCATCCTCCTGTGTCTTCATGAACGGACTGGCCTCTTGCACATACATCTTCTGTTGTTCGATCTGCGCGTTGTGTGCCCGAATCTCCAATTCCCTCTCATGGGGTGTAAGTTGCTCCAATGGCTTCGATGGTTTGAACCCGGGCGGAATCTGCTCAACTCCGGGGACCTCAAGACTACCCGGGGTATCGTTGGATTTGAGTTGCGGTTGCTTCGCCTGCGGGTTAAAGAGCGATCGGAGAGGCGGTGGTTCCTGACCAGCCGCCCGACACTCCGCGACTCGCTTTTCATAATCCAACATCTGGTGGTAGAGTTTGTCCGCATGCATTTGAATTCGTTCTTCCTTCTCCTCGTCCCAATCGAATGAGGCGGCGTAGCCTAATGCCTGCAGGAATTTCTGAGCCGGTATTAGCATACACCGCCCACAAAAAGTTCTGGAGTAGTAATTCCGATACTTACGGATTGAGTGGTGAAACAACGAGAGAAAGTTGCGTTTTCCTCGGAGCAGGAAGTCGCACGAGCCTGCAGTCGCTTCTGCCAATTACCCGTCTGGAAACACAACGTCAAGGCTTCATGCTCCAATGCGCAATTTTCCATGGCTGCCCGGTGCACGGTGTCATTATGCTTCTTGTACTTCTCAATCACCCTTTCCGCGCCCTTGGTTACTGATCCGCCCTCTTCCTGAGGAGGCTTGTAAGTTTTCCACAGATGAGCATACCGGCCATCAGGGTAAAGTGAAGCGGAGGGAACGGAGGGTTGCGAGGGCTCGCCAGTTTGGGTAGACTCGTTTGGCTTTGGTGCTTGGGATTGAGGATCTAACGTCTTTGAAGGTTCTTGCGTTGAAGGAATCGATGTCGTAGGCACGTATTTTGCTGGAGCTTCATTTTCAAGGTACTCTCTGAGGCCCGGGTCAAGCTTCTTGACAGGATCATCTTGGTTCGAACTGCCCCAGAACCAACCCATCTTTCCTTGATATCGCCAGTGGGTGCGAATTTTATACAATAGAGAAAAAGACAACTGAAAATAGCTGAGCTCTGGCGAAAGATATCCGACAGGACTGCGGAGATGTGGAAACGAAGCTGATGATTTGGGCCTCCCTCTGTTCCCCGCCAAACCGTTTTGGGTCAATGTAGTCCCTCCCTCAGTAGTTCCATCCAGCTGCTCTACATACAACAACAAAGCTCGAGCTTGAGCTTCATTTACAATCATATCGCGTCGATTCGCGCGTTGAATAGCGCCGCTTCTCCGCCATGAATTCTAGTATGTTTTCAATTTCTGTTATATCAAGTGATAGACTAATGCAATTGCGACAGATCGAGAGGAGCGGCTGCAAATGCGGCAGCGCGGAGCAGCGTACGCGCACCACTTTATCCGACTCGCCTTCCGATTGATCTAGAGAGTATAATGCTAACCGCGCGATTCATATGACAGGACGCGCAAAACGAAAGCGATTGATTTCGGATTCTCATTTGGACTTGCTTCGGCACTCGCAGAGTCCACGTCGGAACCCGCGTCGCAACCCGCCGCGACTGTCACTGCCACCGAACCAGCTGGTTCTCCACAAACAACATCAGCCCCAGGAGAAATCACATCGTCGCGGCCATCACCAGCACGGACACCTTCATCTCGAAATCTAGGTTCTAGCCAGCGGACACCAGGAAGTGCGCGCAATGGCCTCCCCGAACGACCGTCGATGTTCGACATACCCTCGGATGGGGAGTTAGAACTTGGGCGTAGCAGCAAAAGGAGAAAAATTGGTAGGTTCCTGAGGAGTCCCTAATGACTTGACTACAGTATCTGACAATGTGATATTTAAGAATCTCCCAGCAAGGTTACCCAGACATCGGCGAGTTTAGACGTTCCAGCCCAGGAGACGAGTTTAGCACAGCCCCAGCCGGACAGCATGACGAGGAGCGCAGAAGAAGGCATTCGTGATGGACCACAGGCTGCGGCACCTACCACAAGCGCCGAACAAATATCCGAAGACTCGCCCGTACCGGCCGTTCCGTCAACATCAAACAGCCTGATCGATGACCTGACAAAGGCGGGTGAGAACCCCGAGGGTCGTGGGGCAGCGGAAGAGGCTACGGTGATGCGAAGTGGTCTACTACTACAGAACGGCTCGAATTCACCTCCTCTGGATACCATGGACTCCGAGCGCAGCAGACAAGAGTCGGATACCCACGATCGCTATCCACCAGAAGCTTCGGTGATGCCGCAAGAAGTTGTCGCGGAGCAGGTGGTGGAAGAGCGAGCGGTACCAGAACCAGCCAAAGCCCATGAAGACACACAGCAGCCTACGCGAGCCCCAGAGGCACCAAATGAGCAGCACGTCGGTACTGAAATGAAGAAGTTACAGCCTCAGCGCCAGAAGCGCGCAAGGGGCAGACCATCGGCATCTAGCCGAACGCGTTCTGCTATTGGTGAAGGCTCAGGCCGGAGAGGAGGTGACACGCTGGAGATAACGGCGGCTCCAGATGATCCGAGCAAGAGACTTCCAGCCAGGAGTACAAGGAGCGCCCGAAGCACGTCGAGTGATCCTACCGGGAACGTTGTCACCAATAGCAACTTAGCCCACGGGCGGGACGCGGCACAACCTGAGACGGACGGCGACGACACTGCAGCAAGGGGCCAGGATGTTCAGCAGTCAGTTTTGCAGAAACAAAACCAAAAGAAGAAGGGCAAGCGCGCTGGACGCGCTGACAAGGCCCGGCATGTGGAGACTGAGCAAGAAAAATCTGATGAGTCGGGTAAGAGAATTCAGCAAGAGGAGCAACCACAGCCAGGCAGGGAGCGAAATCCAGAGTCTGAGCCTGAGCCTCAGCCTGAGGCCGAGCCCGAACCCAAGATCGTAAACAGAGCAAAATCGCCAACAGCCCAGGCGTCTTCTTCCCGACCCAAAAAACGTCGTGGGAGACCGTCGTTAGCATCGAGAAGGGATGACAACACAGCAACGCAGCCTGAAGAAAGACAAGACACACAGCAAGAGGTTGAAGAGGGGGATCCAAAACCTACGAGGAAGCGGACTAGACAACCTCGTGGTGAAACTGTACCTGTGACCGTCCACCGCCTGGTGAACGTCGCTTCGCTGGCACCAAGAGCTTCTGGTCCGGAGTCACCAGTCGAGGATGGAGAATCGGCTGATGAACTGGCCACCAAGGGGAAGACTAAGCTCCCTAAAAGAGGGGGCGTCAACCCAGCCGATGTACTGAGCCAGATTTGCCGAGAGACACTGGAGAAGACCCTCGCTACTCTGAAGAACGGCATAGCCAATGAGACCAATCCCGCACGACGTGCGGAATGGACCCGCAAGAAGAAAGCTGTCGAGGCTTACGAAACAGAACTTGAGGGTCGACTGTTTGAGTTGAGCGAGATGCTGGATAGTAACTTTGTTCTCGGCGTCCAGCTGAAGAAAGCAAAGCGGGAGATGATGGACTTGCGGGGCCGGCTGTACCAAGTCCGCAAAGAGAGAGAGGCGGTTGCTTTACGAATGGATGCAGTACGCGGAAAACACGCGGAGGAGGAAAGTGCGAGAATGGTTAGTTATGCGCCCCAGTCTATAACTACGTCTTTGATGTGCGTGTGATTGGTATCTAATGTTTCGCAGGCCCGCATCTCGATCAATAATTCCTTGCATAGTCTCGAGCTTGCGGTCGAACGAAGTCAAACTCGTGCTTCCGCCGATGCTGACGACACGGAATCGGCTGATGCTTCCCCTACAGTTGGGCTAGAGTTTATGCTCCGTAGCGTTGCAGAAGCAGTGAGCTCAACCGCTCCCGGAGCTCAAGGTGGTCTCTTGGACCAGATCAAAAGCTTCAATGCACAATTAGAAGCTACAGCTCGCAAGCTGGAGAGCTGACAATGTATTTATTCATGTTTGCTGATACTATGACGCTCAATACCCTTTGGTGACTTTCTGGATTGTGTGTATCAGGATACTCCTCGGTGTGGTTACTAGGCGAACAGACCATTTGATTTGCATACCGCATGTTGACCTGATATACACCGGAGTACACTCTCACCCTGCTTCTGTTTAGTCCAGACTGAATGTAGCAGCGTTACTAACGCACAGCCTTCAACTATTGTAGCATTGTAGGACACTCTGTATCTCTTCCCTCGTCGGATAGATTCCTGGCTGCCTGAGGCAGGAACTGAGCCCGCCACTCTAACAAGCATCCATTATCTTTTTTCGCCTCAGGAACCAACTTGTCCCGACCGGATCAACTCCCGATGAAATTTGTCCGAAGAGTTTGTCAGCAAAATTTGCAACGGCCAATCAACTTCCGAATGTCTGCGAATGCTTATGCAAGTATTGTTTGTTCCCTTATCTGCATCTACTGTCCCCTTTCCTCATTATGGAGCTGCCCTCGCTGACTTTCAGTTGCCCCACTGGATTTCCAATCCTCGGGAATCGGATGTGATTTGAAATCAAGCAGTCTACAATACGTATAGTGTCGTTTTTTAAGACAATGCTCTCCAGAGATTGTAGGATAAAAGCCGACGGCCTCCCTCCCCGTATTGCCTCGTTCCAATTAATACCCTACAGAGTATAGTTGTGCTATTATCACGTCTCGAGTGATTTCTAGACCGCAAAATCCCCAAGAAACCCACCATGTCGAAGCTCTTCTCCCCCGTGCAAGTCGGGCGCATGCAGCTGGGCCACCGCCTGGCCATGGCCCCCATGACCCGATTCCGCGTGGACGACGACCACGTCCCCCTCCCCATGGTCAAGGAGCACTATGAGCAACGCGCCGTCGTCCCTGGCACCCTCCTCATAACCGAAGCCACGCTCGTCTCGCCGCGCGCCGGCGGCTACGCCAACGTCCCGGGGATCTGGAGCGAGGCGCAGATCGCGCAGTGGCGCCAGGTGACCGACGCCGTGCACGCCAAGGGCTCGTACATCTACATGCAGCTATGGGGTCTGGGCCGGGTTGCGAGCCCGGAAGTCCTCAAGAGAGAAGGCGGGTTCGACCTCGTGTCTAGCAGCGACGTCCCCACGGACGACAAGGCGCCTGCGCCGCGCGCCCTCACCGAGGAGGAAATCTATGCGCTGATTGCGGACTATGCGCAGGCGGCGCGCAACGCCATCGCCGCTGGCTTTGACGGCGTCGAGATCCACGGCGCCAACGGGTACCTTATCGACCAGTTCACACAGGACACGGCGAACAAGCGCACGGATGCGTGGGGCGGGAGTGTCGAGAAGCGCGCGCGCTTTGCGCTCGAGGTCACCCGCGCTGTTGTGGAGGCTGTTGGTGCGGACCGCACGGGCATTCGGTTCAGCCCGTGGAGTAGCTTCCAGGGGATGCGGATGGCGGACCCGATCCCGCAGTTCAGCTACCTGGCGCGGAAGACGGCTGAGTTGAAGCTGGCGTATGTGCATATCGTCGAGTCGCGGATTTCCGGCAACGCGGATACCGAGTCGACGGATCAGCTGGATTTCTTCCTCGAGGCGTATGGCCGTGCTAGTCCTGTGATTATTGCGGGTGGCTACAAGGCTGATTCCGCCCGCGAGGCGGTCGACTCGCACTACAAGGATTACGACGTGGTGGTTGGTATTGGTCGTCCCTGGACGTCGAACCCGGACCTGCCTTTCAAGATCAAGGCCGGTATCCCTCTTCGGCCGTACGAGAGAGAGTTCTTCTATTTGCCCAAGGATCCTAAGGGTTACATTGACTACGAGCCCAGCGTGGAGTTCAAGGCCACGCAAGTTGCGGCTTGAATTTGATGTCGTGTGTTTCCCTTTTCCTTTGCTTATCGGTCCATTAGAAAGATACCACTGCATTGCATATCGTATATCGTGTATATAGACTATAGAATCAACCTTCAATAATGATGGATTGTTGAGTTTCTCAATGTTTGTACTGTAGTCGCAGCCGTCGGAACCATGCTGTACCGCAGACGAGGCAGACTCACCCTGAAATTCGGATTCTCCCTGTCAGTCAGATCTAAAAATTCAGAGTTCACCGGACGCTGTCCCTCGCCCTTCATGTCGCGACGCCGATTCTGATACATATAGTAGGACTTCAACAGGACGGAGAGAACGATTGCTACCGAGACCGTCGCCACAATGGCAATCTTTGCCGGTATGTGGTCTGGCTCGTCTTCAGAGGCTGTTCTGCGAAAGGTCAGCAACATCCTCACCCATGAGAGGTACACCTTCGCGTTCCTCTTGTACCACATGGAAGTAATCAAGATCAGTCTGGTACCTGTCAGAATGTTTTCGGACATTGGATTGCAGGAGTGGGCAACATACGCCGGAGCAACTGCGCTTTCCAAACATCCATGAGCCCAGCATAATTCTGCGCAGCACAGTTCAAGGTAGTCAGGAGTCCCCCTAGGGTCACTACATCCCGTAAGCACTGCACAACATGGCTACTGACGAGAGCTCAGACCATTCAGCCCAAGGTATTTTGCGATAGGCAAACGTTGCATGAGATATCCCGTTGGAAACTCGAAGGATAGGTAAGAGACGTAAAATGCTAAGGCCAGCTTCGAGAACTGGTCTATCTGCATGCCCGTATCCTTGAGCAAGCCCATGCCGGAGGCATAATTGACTGAGGTAGCGTAAGTCACTGCAGAAATCAAGCCCGCCCGTGAGGTCTTACTTAGAAATCTTGTCCTGATACTGGAGAAAATAATTTGACCACATAAGTGGGACGATCATCCAATCAATCTTACGAACGACCTTCTTTTCATCGATCTCGGAACGTGCCGCCGTTCCTTCTGAGGCAAGGAAACTTAAGGCTGCGTCTGCCTCAGTCGAAGCTGCAGGGCCGAACTTCTTTGCTTCGATATCCATGCTCAAGTCACCTGTTTCAGGTACTGTGCGCAAAGCACTATTGTTGTAGCCAAAGTCCTGAAGAAAGGGCTTGACATGATAGCATTGCTACTCTTCTTATAAATACATTTGCGATGCCTATGCTATCAGCGAGGTCGCGGATAGAATGTCTCGCACATCAATGACCTTCCGTAAATGGATGATTAGAGTCTGATAGGTGAGAGTGCAGTCGCAATCGCAATGGACATGTCGACACAACCTTCTTCAACTGACAAGGACTTGGTCCAATCGAACTTCCTCGAGAAAGAGTTTATGTCGCGTAAGCGACAGAGACTATGCTAACCCGGAGAAGAGTATGCTGGGTAGACACTCCAATTCTGGCGATCTGACCGAAAGAAGCAGGTGGTAATCCTCTCCATCGCACGGGAGATATCACTGATAGAGTCAATATCGATCCCCGCACGCGGAGAGAGGTTGCCGTAGCCATGATAGGATAGGACGTGCATTATCAGGATAGTGAGTTGTCACTCATAGCAGAAAATGCGCTTGAGACGGGTCAAACGCTCTCCGATGAGAAACTTGGTCAGAAAGCTCTATGATCCACCCTCCCCTTCTGTGCAGGGAAACACTCTGATCAAGGGGCCATTAGTGCCACAAAGATATCTCAGGTTAGTTCGCATCAGCAATCGACACCATTGACAAGGTATGCCATTGAACATGCTCCTCGATCGGTTGTGTATGAGAACATCATAATTCATCTCATGAGAGAATTTTGGACCACACCATAAAGGCTTCTCACCTAGGTAACTGCCCATCTCCTTATAGTACGCTCAGCTAATCGAAGACGATATGAGCGGTGACTGTCCCAAGGTCTGTTGAGACGAAGCGACAATTCCATAAGACGGGCGCCACCTAGCAAAGTGCGCTATTGTCTAACTATTGAAGTCAAGTAAGATTCTCAAGATAAACCCAACATGATTTCGATAGTTTCTACCACCCAGTCCGGATCGTGATTGAGCGACTGACCGCTTCTTTTCTCTGGTAACTTTCACCGAAACGGCGACTTTAGAGAGATATCTTGATCTTCCTATTTTCTTTGAACGTCGATCATCAGCTCAGTATCAATCGTTGATCGACCTCGAGATACATCATCGCTTTGAACGACGGGAAAGCGAGACGGGGATCTACAGCGCTACAGAGGTCATTTGACCGGCATCTACCCCAACAAGATATACAGGTCGCGCGATAGATGCTGACATATAGAAAGATGCCGAGCAGCAAGGACTAGGTCATGCTCCAAGTCTGATGTTGTGAGGATCCGCCAACTTCCGCTTCTCCAGGTGGTTCTCCAGACAACTGCGTCGTCGACCCCGCTTATACTCTGCCTCTCTGTCCATTCTCAACGAGAATCGGTTATTCGTAATTCGTACAGTGGAGATAGTACTCTAAAGATCCAAGAACAGACACATTCTGATAACAGCAGCTACCGCAGCACCCCGTCTTTTTTTGACTGGTTCGTATTCCCCACCTGGAACCAAGCTGTGAGTTGCTGATGTTGACGCTGCTAGCACCAGGCCGCGAGCTCTCAAGACAAAAGCCCAGAGTTCAGACTTAGCCAGAAAACAAAAGTAAGAGTCCTGAGTGGAGCCCGAGAGCATCTCTGAATCCATAAAACTGGCATAATTCAAAGGCCCGCGCCTTCTGGTTGGGCCCTGAGTGACTCCTCCCAGTCCTCAGTGACTTCCGCTCCGCCGAACCGAAGGGTAACCGAGTCTGGACCGGGAAAACCTCATCGACCTGCAATAAACGGAATCTTTTTGGAGCAGGTCCTAATTATTGTACTATCCCCGGACCCCAGTTGTATCCGGGGTTATCCAGTAGTCTCGGCTTTTGACATGGCATGAAGCCGGCTCGAAGAGGTTTGACGCTCAGCCAGTCCAAGAGTATACTCCATAGGCCGCAATGCTAGTCCCAAGAGAGCGGCTGCCAAGCAAGAAAACGTGGCTGTCTCGTGGCCTTGCACGGACCGAGAGAGTTTCTCAGGCTCAGAGCAAAATTATTGAAATGACACCCCAGCCACAAAGTATCTGCGTTGTCTTGGATAGCGGACATCAGGCAATAATCATTCCTGGCGTCTTTGTCAAAGTAGGAAAGATCACATCAGTTAGTTGGTATTCCGATTGAGGCTGATCGGCGATCCCCTTTCTCATGACTTCGCTATGGCCATTGTAAGCGAGAATAATGCCATTGGTCTTTTGATCCTTTGGTTCACCGTCCGGGATAAGGTTTGGAGAGATTGTCACTAGCAGATATGCCAGCCACTGTTCCTTGGATGTTCGATATCACCAAGATTCGAGTAGGGCAAAAGTCAAAGCCAAACTGACATCATCTTGAAATTCAAAGTATACAGAACTGAGTACATTGATGTCAAGAATCGGTTTGCCCAGAACGAGAAGAGCACTCAATTTTAGGCACTTGTATGGGCCAATTAGCGATCCAGTCAGCACCAGCCTGGGCTCTCATGGTAGTGTAACTTGTGTACACCACTTAGAAAGGGGAATCAAGCCCAGGACTTGGCAGCACGCCAACACTCCCAAGGTAAGCAGTTGTCAAAAGCAGAGTGAATGAAAGCGTGGTCTCCGAGACCGCAATTTGAAGTTTCAGCATCCAGAAGTTTATCGAGATTGACTTTGAAAGGAGCTTGAGACAAGTCTCGCCTCTCCTCTGCTTCATTAAACAAACAGAAGGAAGCAAGGACAACAGCCTAAATACAACCTCACTAGATATGGAATAAACACCTATCTACTCCGTACAAAAAGTAGTACAACAATAAAAGTCCACATCATTAATATTGCTAGGCCACGCCACAATAAAAATCAACGATAAATTATCCAAGCACGCCCCTAAGCTTAGCAGACCGAAGAAATCTCAACAGCGCACCATCTCACGCCCAAATTCCACCACAAACGACCACCCGCCTAAGCACGCAGCGCTAATAAAAATAGCTATTAGTCTAATTTTAAAGCCACAGCCGTATGACTGGCGCCTGCTGTGAACGTGGCACGACTTGCCAGTAAATATGGAAAATAATCCGGCGCTCCCAACGCAAGACTTCCATTACGTGCTCTCCAGTACTCTGCACCCAAAGAGACGATAGCTACGGGGTAATCTTCCCCTTGTCTCAAAGAACTTCATAATCCTGTCGAGTCTAAGGTCTAGGACCTCTTGACTCTGAGATCAGGAGTTGAGAAAGCTTGTCGAGAAATCGAGATATATCTTCGGATTCCGCTGAATCTGAGACAACCAAACAAACAGAGGTAATCTCCCATCGAGTCTCCGTGCTGGTTGTCCCGCTAACTGCGTAGGCGAGGCCCATCGACTCCATTTTTCTGTAGGCGACGGCGTATGCACGATGCAGGGGCTTGTCGCAGACTTGCACCTTACAGGAGTTAATTTGCTGGTCTCACGAACCCTGCCAGTGCGTATTCAGTTCTATCCACAATCATATGCTGTTAATATTGGGTGATTAGTTCGTAGTCTGCGCTCCAGGGTTTGGTTAGGAATTATTGGGGTTAGAACAATCTGGACTTGGGTAATGTCTTGAATAGATAGTTATAACTACATCATGCTTGTTAGTTAGCCAACCACCCAGGTGGCATGACAGAGACACTTGCTGGTTAAACGTCCGATCGGCCATGGCCGAGGGAATGACAATACTGATGGGACCCGTCATTTCTTGTTGTGGTGATGACTGGCGGCAGTTGTGCTCCATAGGTGGCTTTAGGACGGGTACTTTGATTAAGCCTTTGATGATCTTGTCCATAATGTCAGTGTCAACTGCTCTTACCCTGTACTTTGATTCTTAGTGACCCATACGAAATACATGAGAGATTGTAGTAAGAACGGTAAGACGAGCAAGTCCACCCCGTGATATCTGAAGCGCTGGCAGCAACCTTGTCAAGCTATTCGTCACTGATAATACCATAGACAGGTTGGCCCCTCAGACTTCAGCCGCTGATGAATTACCCAAGAAGGAAATGACGGGCGGGAAGACGGCAGAACATCCACAGACCGAGGTGCGCAATAATATTAGTGAGAGGCGGAGTTGAGACTTGAGAGGGAACTTCTAGTCCAAGTAGCCTAAGTGGATAAAGTTCGTGTCTCTAGACGTGTTTGGCTCTGGTGATCACTAATGGAATTCTCTGAAACGGGGCCAGCTCAGTTCCAGACTACCTACGGTTACCTTAAGCGTGCCTGTGTGACAAGCATACTGGCCAAGCCGCGTCCATCATTGGTGCGTTTTTTCTCCACCGGGGAAAGCTCGACAATAGTTCCATGATGAGGTTGTACCTTTGTATGCTTACTCACCGGGGAGGATTAACTCTGCTTTTTTTTCCTTGCTTTTTCTCGATATCTCTGTTTGTACAGAGTACTTTCTAGTTTGATTTTCTGAGTATGTAGTAGCCTGTGGGTAGGATCTTCCGGTCGATCATGAGGAAGATTATCCACTGTTCTCTCTCATTACTACAAAGTGCAGTTAAATACTCCATACAAGCTATGGCGTAGAAGGATATGAGCTGCAGGAAAGCTGTGTCATCGGGGCGATCCGTATTCCACAAATCAACACTAAAAGGTGTCTTGTAAGAGGTCTTGGCAAAATGGGTGCGCAACCCAACAATCAATCCTCATTAAGAGATGATGTTTGCTTGTCAAGCTGTCGAAGAGAAGGCCCAAACTACTAAGCTGTATCTGGTATTGTACGGCTTTCTCCGTCCTCCGTCTCCGTCGCCGGAATAAGTGACTACTTTACTTTACCATCGTCTTGTCGGACTTCAAGCTCTCCAGCTGGGTTACTGGGTGATGTTCCAATCCCACCGGCTGCTGTAGTAGACTAAGAAGCACGAGCTCGTATGTAGGACAGGCCAAGTGAGACCACAGAGTACAGGACGAGGTAGATTAGTGGGGATGATGTACACCAGAAATGGAGACCACAGTTTAGTAGTATTATCATGGATAGATCG